GATCACTGGCCAGAACGGTACATTGCCTGTGTGATGAAGCAGGTGCTGAAGGGGTTCGTTTACATTCACTCGATGGTCAGTAGTAGTGTTCTTGTTGATAAAATGATGTTATCATTATAAATATGTCACTTTCACCTGCAGGGCATTGTTCACAACGACATCAAACCGGGCAATATTCTTCTGCACAATGGCAATGTGAAGATTGCCGACTTTGGCAAGGCAAGAGATTTGGCCAATCTTGGCCATGTCACCGAANGCCTTACTGAATGGTGACCGCAAATGCGAGGATTTTTCTGCTGCCGTTGATGTAAGTGGAAAAGATGTTAACTGATAAATCTGAGGCAATCTTTTACTTGTATTTAGATTTGGGCACTTGGTGCTACACTATATCAGTTACTCGAATGCGTTCTTCCCTACAAAAATAAAAATGACGATACACTTTTAGACGCCATTGCAAATCAAGTCCTCAAACTTTCAGAGAATGGAAACTATTCAGTTGAAGTTAAAACCTTTTTCTCTTTGTAAGTATTATTTGATTACAAGTCATTTTTATAAATTGAATTTTTTATTTCTTATTAACAGAATGACAGCAAATGATCCTAAAAAACGTGCTTCAGCTGATGCGCTTTGTACCAATCCATTTCTCGCTCAAGCTTGCACTTGCAGTGAGCTAGATGAAATGATCAAACTGAACAAAATATGGAAGGACCAACAGCGTCAGCATGAATATTAGTTGGATTAAACATACAAAAGTCAGTTGTGCATTCGTTTTTTTTTAAATTTCACTACTGTTTTTATGCTTTAAATGACTTTCTATTGTAGTGATGAAAAAATATGGCAACAACAATAATTAAACAATAAAGATAATCACACAAATCATTATATTGGTAGTTTAAATACCGTTTTATTTAATTTATAAAATAAAAAACACATAACAGTACAATTGTTTTGTTTTGAAGAATAGTAGTGTTATAATCAAAAACCGTTTTGGGAATTGTTGTCATCGGCGGTGTTATCGAATGAGCAGTAAAACTCAATAGACATGACCTGAAGGCAGTGCAGGAATTCAATGGCAGCCTCCCTAATTTAATCGTCTCTCTGCATGTTGCTGTTCGGTTCAGAGTGGGAGTGTAAACAAGATTATAATAGAAACCAACAAATAAAGGTTAAAGTGGAATACAAAAAAATAATAAATTAAACGAATAGGAAAATAATAATGTTTGCCGAATCATGTAATTTTAATTATCATCATTCAATAACTGCTTAGTTGTGAATTTTGATAGGCATCTTGTTGTGGCGTGAACGTTCTGTCGGTTTGTTCTCGTAATCCAGGCCTAGCCACGATTTGGGCTTGTAAAAAGAATCGATTGATTCTGAAAAAAGTGTGTAAAGATGAAAAAAATTTAAAAACACGCTTACAGGTTGTTATGTAATACCCTTTTTTAAAAATTTGATTTGTCTCGTCGGTGATGTAGGCGACATGACGCAAAATGATAGCAAACTTGTACTAGAAAAATGGTATAGGAAAGCAAATTAGAAACAATCAGCAGCTGGTACAAACAAAAAAGCACCATTACCTTTTTAAACTTCTCATCAGAAACGCCAAGCTTCTTTTGAGTTTGTTTCTTGACAGTAACAAATGACTCGTTGTAAGAAACAGCAAACAATAACAGTAAATCTCAACGCAAGTTTAAAAAGTTTGAAGCCAGAGCCAAAACTTACATCCTTTACCTTGAGTAGAAATGGCACGCCATAGGTGTGGTAGAATTCTTTCATAAAGTGAGCCACCAAAACGAGAAACTCATTTGGTTTCATATTCGCCTGGTCGCAGGGAATTTCTTCTACGCGGTAGCTTAAATGGCGCCCCGGGTTGAGGGTTTCGAGAAAAACGCAATCGGAGATGACATGGTTGATCTTGCAACAGGCAACCTCTAACAGTCGCAAATGTCTAGAAGTAGTTTCAAATTTGATCATCTTTGTCGTTTCAAACATCAAATCAGCAAAAATTCTAGTTTGACTCAGAAACAATTCCAGCTCCTAAAGTGCAAAAGTAAAAAATAAATTTAACTGTAGAACATACATTTTCAACACTCTTCTTTTTTTCATTTACCATTTCTTTCAGTTTAGAGTTAACATATGTACATTTAAAAAGTCGCTTGTTTTCCATTTTTTAAATGCTAATGTGGAGCTAGATAAACAAAATAAAATGTTAAACACCCAAATAATTCCATCTTTATCCCAATCACTTACATGCTGAAAGTAAATCTTTTTCCCCTGTTGTGGTTTAAAGTGCAACAAAATTTCTTTGAGGGTGCCGTCGTAGTTGGAGAGAAGTGGTTCTCCTGGTATATTGTGGTAGTTGTTCTTTTTCTTGAAGAACTGCAACTTTAACGGGTCGGCATTCAAATGCATTGCCACCGCCGTTGCAATTTGATTGTACGTCATCTTCATCGACAGCTCCAGGAGAAAACCCGAGTCGTTGGGGACGTTTTTGTCGCAGAAAAACACCTCTACGCAGTGCAGCAAGTCCTGGTAGTACTCCAGCAAACAAGAAGGGCCGTCACTCGGAGGGATCACGTCAATGCGCTCAAAAACGATAATGTCGCCGTCCATCAACTCGTCGACAGCCATCTCCAGCGTCGTCTCAAAGTCAACGATCAATGGGTGAACGCAGTTGTTTTTTTCCTTGTAAACATTCAGCAGAGTGCCCAACTGCAGGCCTGCCTTCTTCCACATCAACTCGAAAAGGTCGATCACCTTGGCTTGGCGTTCAATGTGCTCCAGGCCGCAATAGATGAGAAAAGAGTTCTCAATGTCGTAGTACTTGAAGAAGATGAGCACGTGCACTGAACGGAAAGGGTTGGTTAAATGAAAAACATAATTTAAAGTAAAAAGCACTGACCACCAATCTCCGAGATGGGCAGCGGTGGAGCGGGCACACTTGGCGGCGCCGTTTCCACAAAGACCGAACCGCCGTTTCCTGAGTCGAAGAAGGTGGCCACAGTTTTGGCAGTGTCCTGGACGAGCGTTGGCCTGTTAGCGTGATTGTTGCGCTTTAGAAAGGGCCACAAGCGAATGCTGTCCACTGGGTAGCCCATCTGCTCGGCGACGATGGCTACCGCCTCCAAATGGCTGGCCGACTTGGCCACCTTGAAGCTGAAACAGGGAGACCGCTGCATACTGACCAGGTCGGCGCCCTGGTGCGTCATCAGGGCGTTCTTGGTGTAGGCATTCACGTTGAGGTAGAGGTGAGCCTCTTTGCGCTCCTTGCAACGCAACTACTCCTGCTGATTTGTTTTCTGCAGCCGTTCAAACAGCTTCTTTTCAATGTCCGCCGTGGTCACCGGGGCGAGGACGTCAGCTAAAGAGAAGGGGAAAACGTTAGCTAACGAAAACACTTTCAGAGCTCAGTGGCACTGACCGAGCTCACTGTCGCGAATG